ATATAATGCCCAAATGGGCAAGTGAAAAAGAAAAACAATTTGAAAAAAAAAAAAAAAATTACCCCGAAGGGTAAGAAAAAATTAAAAAATTTATAAGAACATTAGTCCTCTGCGGGCGGCCCGCTCCCCAGACCACTTACCTGCTCTGATAGAAGAGCGCATTGTACCCGGGGTGCAGCAGGTGAGGATTTACCCACTGCTCCCCCGTGTACTGAGCTTCGTGGTCTGGGGGAGTGATGATGATACCAGGCGCAAGGGTTGAGAGTTCCTCATCAGACTCCGTGGGTGCTTCCGGGCTGGCAGGTCTAGTGAGGCAGGCAACGAAAGGTAGACGGGCACCTCCGGAGTCATCGGAGTCTTCAGAGGAAGCATCCCATTCCTCAATGTGAGTAACGTGACTCCCGGATCTGTGCCGCCACCTCTCGTTGCCCACCCCACCAACCCCCGGATAACACCTCCACCCCGTATCATCATCATCGCCGCCCGCATTCTCATCAGAAGATGAGGAGCCATCTCCACCTCCCCGGTCGACACTGTCCTCGCTCGACCTGGGAGGTGCCGACCGGAGAGATGAAGATGGCTCACCGGCATCTTCATTTGCAGAACCGCCAGCGTTCACATCAGTCCCCGGGCCAGTTCCTGTAAGATCCCTCGCTCCCCCTGCACCGGTGTCCGGTTCGTCATTGGCACCGTCGAAGCCAGCATGACAGCCGGCAACCCGACCAGAGTTCGGACTGGTTGAATGAGAACGTTCTCGGAGAACGGAAATGAAATGATGAATTCTGTCGCGCGAGGATACCGAGCCGGATGCATGAGTTTGCGCTTGTGGAGCTGGACGCGGAAGGTTGTTCTTGTCTCGGTCGATACCGCCATGGTGCAACACATTATCAACGGCTCCCAACATCTCGCCCGCGAAAAACGGCTGGACTTCCCGGTTCCACCGTGCCACCCTAAGATTTAGCCGCTCCCTCTCTTCGCTGCTGTCGTAACCCGCCTCGGCCTGCAAATAATCGGTTGAATTAGAACCTTCTTCTTGAGGTCTCGGGTCGTTCGGTAGGGTGACGGGACCCCAAAACTCAGCCCATGGATCGGTGACAATGCTTGAAGTCCTTAGAAGTTGTCTGCCCCTTTGTTCTTCATAACTTGTTTCCCTCGAAGGGTGGTTTCTAACCCGAACCTCGGGGAAAGCATCACTGACAACGCTTCCAGCTCGTCGGAGGGATCTGCCGCGTCGCACTTGAGGACTCAGCTCCCTCAATGGGTGGTCTCTAGAGAAAGCATCATTGACAATGCTTCCAGCTCGTCGAAGTGATATGCTGCGTCGTACTTGAGAACTTGGGTCGCTCGGTATGTTGATGGGACCCCAAAGCTCAGCCCATGGATCGCTGACATAGCTTGAAGCCCTTAGCAGTTGTCTGCCCCTTGCTTCTTCGTCACTTGAGTCCCTCGATTGGTGGTCGCTACCCCGGACGTCAGAGGGAGCACCACTGACAATGCTTCCAGCTCGTCGAAGGGATCTGCCGCGTCGTACTTGAGAACCCCGGTCGCCCGATGGCTCATCATCAGAATTGTCGATGCCCCAAAGTTCCTTGTTACCGTCATGTCTGGTTCCGTAGTATGCGATGTTACTGTCGCGTGAGCGAAATGAGTTAACTAGGCTGGCTGCACGGATTTGGATTTGTGAAGTCGGACGCGGAAGGCTGTGGCTTTCGATCTCGTCAAGCTGCAAGGAGCGAGTTTCGAGCACGGTCCAGTCATGTTGTTGAGAAATGAGATCTTCGATATTGTGGTGGCTGTTCCTAGCCTGGCGATTGGCGAGCAGATTTTCAAGTCGTCTGCGCTCCCAAGAAACGGGATCTTCGATATTTGGTTGGCTGATCCTAGCCAAGCGACTGGCGAGCAGATTGTCGAGTGGGCTGCCCTCCCGTCGGCGGCGTCTGCGCTCACGTCGGCGACGATATCTATCGACTTGGCGACTGGCGAATCCACGAATCTGCTGGCGGAGCCCAAGGCCAGCGTGGCGACCGGCGGATCCGAAATGTCGCCGAACGCGACCGGGGCTGACATGGCGACTGGCGAATTCATGATTTCTGCCACGCCGCAATCGGAAGTATCGTCGAATGTTACCCACAAGACCTGCGGCCTCATCAGGGCTTACGTCAACTGCATCAGATTGGTCGCTCTCAGCGGAGGTGGGCGGCGGCACTAGGGTTGGACCACTACTAAGTTCTTCGGAGACAAATGACGCTGTGCCTTGAGGCTCTTGTGCCTCGGCCTCAGAGGGCCTCGGCGATTCCATGTTGGAGTGTCGCGAAGGCATGACTAGTGTCACGTCGGGGTGTTTCGTCCCCGACAGAGATGGGATTATTGTGAATGAGGAAGGGAGAAAAAAGGTTGAAAGGTAAAGAGGCGTGCTGCGAGAAGTTCACACGCGGGAAAGATGGTTGGAAGTTGAATCAATTAAGAGAAGGGATGGAAGGACGGATGCAAGAGGTCAAATCAGATCAAAGGAGCCGCAGTGATGTTTACAAGCAGGCTGTCGTTTGATTACATCGTCGCTCTAAGGAGGGCCGGATTGTCGTGTTCGCTGAGTCGACTAGCCCCAAGGTTGCAAATGGGCCCTATTCCTACGCGGTCAAATGGAGCTTCCCATGGCACCTATTGCTCTCATTGCACATACTACTCGAATGGCGAAGAGCGTGTGCACAACTGTGGTGATGATAGGTTTTTATTTTCAAATGTGTTTATACGTTAATATCGGGATCATTGATCCTGTGTCTATCTATTCGATCCGGCATGGCATTGCCCGGTTGCTGCTCGCTGGCCTATGTGTATATTTTGGCTATTTTATATGCCGGATATAGGGATGGAACACATGGTATAACAAGCTTGAGTGGCCTAAGGGCTTGCTTCATGTCTGTCAACTCTTAGGGGGATTATATCATGAACATACATACTGCAACCATGTAGGGATGCAGTGATCGACCTGGAATGTCCTTCACATGTATTACTTTGCCTCTGGTGCCTCTTTTATAGGAATAAATGGGGTAATATGTTTAAGGTAGTACAATAGACATGTAGTTAGAAGGCTACTAAGTATACCTACATAGGACCCCTACATGCATGTAAGCTGTGTATGTAGGATACAATATAGGTCTAAACCGGCAAGTTCCAGATCTCTAGATATATAATTTATTTAGTCTTGAGTAACCACCTGGGCCAAATCAAACCTTGGAACATAAATCTCAAACATCGAAAGAGACAATAAGTCTAGAGGTGTTAAGAGTGACAACCCCGTGACCGTGAAAGCCCTGGGCAACCACAAATAACAAACGGTACGGAGTAAAACTCCCAGGATTGATCATTGCGATCTATTTGGGAATCATATATCCATACACAATATTGTAAATGATAGGGGGTAAAGGCCGTCAAAGCCCCCGGATTCAATCAAAAGCCGTCGGGGGTTTCCGATGTGCTCCGCCAATGGATCTCGCCGGGGATCCATCTGCCGATTGTTCGTATAACCGTCTCCATTTCCTGGATACATTCTTCCGACATAATTTATATATCGGAGAGTTATTCATCAGAGTTGGGAGATATTCTGTGTGAGCTGTGTGAGTTATATATTGAAGAGCCTCGGCTGTCCTCCCCCATATCCCAGCCCAGCCACCCTCGGGCCAACGTAAACAAACAAGCCCCCCAGCTCTCACCCCCCATCGTCTTCCCAATTTCTCCACTTGGCTATCATCCATTGCATATTAATCTCATTCAATCATTAATTTCTTCTAGGCGCGTTTAATCTGAGCCTGATCCCTCCTGATCCCTCCTGATCCCTGTCCTCCCCCAACCCCCTCTGATCACCGCAATGTCCGTCAAGTTCCAAGAGGAGGCCGTCCGCACCGTCACGGGCGGCGGCAAGTCCGAAGATCTCGTGCACCGCGTCGGTGAGCGATTGACCGGTGGAAAGACAGCCAATGGGTATCTCCAGGTATGCAGCGCCACCTCCCTCCCAATAATATCGAACCGGCACTGATCCGGGGAATGGATCGTCAACAGGCCTACCTCCTCCAGCTCCAGAAGAACCCTCTGCGCACGAAGATGCTCACCTCCGGTGTGCTCTCCGGTCTGCAGGAACTGTTGGCTTCGTGGATCGCCCACGATGTCGGCAAGCACGGCCACTACTTCAGCTCGCGCATCCCCAAGATGTCGCTGTACGGAATGTTCATCGCCGCGCCCCTCGGCCACGTCCTCATTGGCATCCTGCAGAAGATCTTCGCCGGCCGCACAAGTCTGAAGGCCAAGATTCTCCAGATCCTCGTTAGCAATCTGATTGTACGTTGTCGTCGCAGCGGTCACCTGACCTGACATTTGCTAATACCTCCCCGATTCCCTAGATCTCCCCCATCCAGAACAGCGTCTACCTGACCTCCATGGCTGTTATCGCCGGTGCGCGCACCATCCACCAGGTTCGCGCTACCGTTAAGGCTGGCTTCATGCCCGTCATGAAGGTCAGCTGGATCACCTCGCCCCTGTGCTTGGCCTTCGCTCAGAAGTTCCTCCCCGAGCACACCTGGGTGCCCTTCTTCAACATTGTTGGATTCTTCATTGGAACCTACGTCAACACCCACACCAAGAAGAAGCGTCTGGAAGCTCTCCGGAAGGTATGATTTGATTGTTGGAATTGCGACAATTGCGACTTGATTGCTAACGACTCGGCAGCGTTACGACCAGCGTCGCGACCCCAGCTACGAGAAGCGCGACTTCCCTTAAATGGGCCGAGTCCGCAATTGACTGCGAACACACTCGGACGCGTCGGATACCTATGTGTGCCGTTTCTTCCTCGTTTCCAGTCACTGATTTGTTTTCCTTTGTTTATTATTCTCCGGTGTTGATCTAAATCCATGTACACACCCCTAGTGCATCTTGACATGCCGCAGATATCTTCCCCTTGATGTTATCACTCAATTTCATGACGAATGGCTTTATATCTCTGTTTTATTTCAATTTCAACCTTTGAAGATCGGTACTATATATCACAAGTGTAACTGATGAAGCCTTGGCCAAGACTTTTTACTTCGGTTACCAATAAAAACACGTCCTCTATGCGCGATATATTTTCTGTTCAGTTCTAGGTATGTAGGTAAGGTTCAACAGCTCACTACATACAGCACGCAGATGGGGAAAAGGACAACCAAAAAGGAGACACCAGAGAAGATACCAAAAAAGACACGACTATATATATTTACCCTCCGTGTGAGCTAGTCGCGTCTTTGCTTCGCCCTGCTTATCTGTACTTCTATATACATACCTAGGTACGTACATATATGTACGCATGCAAGCCGGGGTAGCGAACCGAAAGAAATCCAACTGCCCTTGACATGAAACGGGCACGACGTGGCCATTGCTAATTCCATCACGACTATAAAAGGTCCGAGACAGAGGTTGTCAATGGATAATAGAACCGGGTAAGGTACAAGTAGGCATGGATTCCGAAGAGAAGATAATCGGCCATGTCATACAAGCCATGGCCCAACCCATCGGAAACGAGAAACAAATCCCTCATATCCATCATCCACGAATAACCAGAGGCCACCTCATTCAACCTCCATCTCCGACCCCTTCCCCCTCTTCGCTTGCACCCAAGCAACAAAGTCATCTAGCGTACCGGGCCAAGCCCCATCAGGACTCCACCAGCCCATCTCCTCATCCTCCAGACTCTTGCGCATAAACACCTCAACCTGCTCCCACAGATCCTTATTAACAGGCTTTTTCCCGCGCTCTTCGAGGAACTCAATCCACCAATCCAGCCACGGCGTCGTTTCCGTGTTCCAAGCCACACCGCCATGGTCAGTCGTGAAGAAGAGACGCCACTGCTCGGCGGCAATTTCGAATTGCAGGTTGCGCTGTCCTTGCATTCGTGAGAGCGGGAATGCGTATCTGTAGACCCGTCGGAAGGTCTCTGGTTCTCGTGGGATGCTTTCCCGGAGGAGCTTGGCGTGCGCTTGCATCTTTGGCATGGTGTCGCAGCTTGTGGCTTGTGAGCTTGGATGGATATGATAACGAGGATGCTTTGAGTGTGGGTTGAAGGGGGGTTCTTCCACATCGATATTGCACTTACAGAGCTCTCAGCCATCCTTCCATCCATCCCTCGCGGGTGAACTCGCCCATCGACGGTGACTTGAGTAGCTCGGCGATGGCTAGGCAGGTCACCTCGTCGAGCTCGACATTCAAATCGCCGAGGAAATCTATTGCTCGTGTGATACTGATGGTATCTGGGCTATCGACTGGGTCATCTGCGGGGATATGAATATTTTACGTATAATGTCATGGGTGGGTAAGTACCTCGGTAGCTTTCGAAGATCTTTGTAAGTTCTGAGGTTATAGTTGCGGAGGTGCCAGCCGCAGCAGCGAAGAAACTATTTCAGCGACAACGTTAGCCTTCGGATGTTTCAAGCGTAGACCATGTATGATTCCTCCGGAGTAAGATGGTTAGGTATATTGTCATAGGGCTAGGGAATGGCAATCACTTCTTCTTCGTCTTCTTCACTCGAGGCATTTGGGATGATGAATGACGTTATGAGAGATCAAGAATTTCTGCAAGTGAGACTTAGGCAAGCGCTGAAAACAGAAGAGATGTTGGAGCTTTGATGCTCTAGCTATCTGTTGGCATCTTGGACTCAACGCCGCATGTCCAGGTTGGGGTTGGAGACAAATAAAACAGAGAGACACAAAATTTCGGTACAAGTGTGATGACAAGCACTTACGCATCAAGCGCTGGAGGTAAACTCCATCCACATGCTTTAAGGAACTATAGTAGAAAGTTAATCTTTTGATCCACGTGACTGGACAGAAGCGTCTTTAAGATATTCAAACGGACCGCATAGGGGAGAACATGTCGGAAAAGCATGCAAGTTACTCACTTTAGTAGCAACAGACTCTTTTGTCCGTGTACAGTTGACAAACTCAGCGATTTGGTGTTTCTGGCTGGTCGTGTAGGGTGGCATGGTGGGGGTTGGCAATATTTGTGCCCGCTCGGGGGAAAAGGCGATAAGTGGAAACACGCTTGGGAATTGAAAGCGTTTGGTATGTAGTGCTGGTGTGAGAGAAGTCCTCTTTGGCTTGGAAGATACAAGAAACACCAGGACTATGAGGTCTGTAGTGAGCTATCACCCTGTGCCTTTGGATGGATTGCCCGGGCCTGCGGAATGGCATCCTGCTGACTCATCAAGTTTCCCAATCTTCCAAGGTTGTAGTCCTATCCATGGATATCAACTACAACCTGGGCTATACATCCATGGATAGACTTGGCATGACTATTGGGTTTTTGTTACGTTGGAAATGGATTTGGGTATATTTAGAGTGTATATTTTCATATAGTGACCGTCACAGAGAAGTTGTTGGTCAACATTTGCCATCAATTCGTCACATTAGAAGCAATGAGCACAGGATTCGATGGTAAAAAGTACGGTCAACTTTTGTAAGAATAGATCAGCTAAAACTCCCAAACGCCTTTCGCGAGGTGCAAACATGTAATGTTCGGTATCATGTCGAATTTACTTAGGTTGTGAACAACGTATCCTCCTAATATGGATGTTAGGCAATTTGATCCTTGAGAATTTGGATATAGACCCGACTCACCTCTCTAAGATATTCTCCTGCGTCGGCCTGTCCGTTTGAATTAGCCAATGTAAGTAAGGACCCAGACCTAGGCTGCACTTACCTGACGATGGACCGCGATACTGGTAGGGTCCAATTTTGCGATCTGCGCGGATGACCTCGCTGTGACTCCGAATCCTAGGGGAACATCATTGGAGTCCAGAATCACAACGCCTGCGTTCTCCGGACAATCTTCCGAGAAACGAGCCACGTGGGCTTTTAGAACCGAACCGCCATAGAGCAGAGGCTAAGACCTGTTAGCAAGGACAGCAGACCATATCGGAAGCCGGAATAAGCTTACCATCACTCCATTTGCTTTGATCCAGACCTGTTCCAGAGACATAGTTTAACATTATGTCTTTGTCGCAATGCTTATATTTGTGATACGTACCTTATACCGGGCGTTTTGCGCCAGGAGATCCAAAGCTGTCAGATTGATGCGGAACTTGCCCGTCTGCCAGCATATTAGCATCACTGATCAGAATAACAACAGAGCGACTCGAACCTTGGTATATTTGCCGATAAGGGTACCCATTGAAAGAAGCTGATCACGAGGAAATGAAACACTCAGGTTGGCGATATCCTTGTTCACGTAGTAAACCCGAGATCCCTGCAAGCGGAAAACACTCTGGGATCCATCTTCGGCCGGGGTAATAAGAGAGTTGAGACTGCGGCCAGTATAGGAAGCTAGCTTCGTGAAGAGTGTCCGGGTCTCTTCCTAAAAGAGGCATGAGTTAGTCGAAGCAATCAATGGCCATCGCACTAATACGCACTTCTGTGAGGGATCGCATATTGTCGGATATGAAGCTGAAAATAAGGCAAAAAGGTTGAGTAGCAGCGAGCTTGTATTATCGGGAAGTGAGGAACAAGAAAAAAAAACCAAAGTCGGGCAATATCTCACCGCCCAGACACGGACCTGAAATTTATAGCGATGGAACCTACATGAAGCGCCAATCAGAGCAATTACAGTCTTTCCGCCTAGAATTTTCGGGACCGCCTTTTCACTCTACGATCTTTTTACTATTCTCCGCAAATTCCACCGAATACCCCAAATCTCCAATTACAAGATGGCGCGTGGTCCAGATGTGAAGCGGAGACGATTAAGTCCTCCAGCGGACGGTGAGGACTCCTCATCGCGCTCCAAAGCCGACCAAGAGTGGGATGTTGAGCAAGACTACGAACGCCGCCCACGCAAAAACACCAAGAAAGCCGGCGAGAATGCACGATTGCCAATCAAGACTTCTGAAGGATTCGTCCAGCCCGAAGCCCAGCCGGAAGATCAGGGAGAGGAGACCGACAGCTTCCTGGGTACCGATGATGACGATGAGGAGGAGGATGGCTCTGAGGGCGAGGAGGACGGAGAAGAATCCAAGGAAGAAGCACCCAAGATTCCGGTAAAGGTACAGATTTTGCAGGCAAAGGAAGAGCTAGCGAAGATAGCGACCTTGATCAACGAGGATCCCGAGGAGCACATCTCTCTGTTTAAGACAATGGCCGAGATGGTGTCGAAGAAATCCACACCTATCACAGTTAAGAAACTGGCTCTGGCCTCACAGGCGGCTCTCTACAAGGATGTCATCCCTGGATACCGCATTCGTCCATTGAGCCAAGAGGACCAGTCCGGCAGGGTATCAAAGGAGGTGCGCAAGCTCCGAGACTTCGAACAGTCCCTAGTGTCAGGATATCGAGCCTATGTCCAGAAGCTTGGGGCGCTCGTAAAGCCATCTAAAGCAGATGGGCCCACAGACGCTGGATTGAGGAGCTTCGCGCTTTCCATGGCTTGCACTATGCTCTTGGCTGTGCCACACTTCAACTTCCGAAGCGAGCTTTTGAAGATCTTGGTGAACCGCCTTGCACGGAGACAGCTTGATGCTGACTATGTCAAGTGTCGCGAAACTATGGAGGAGGTTTTCGCCAAAGATGACGATGGAACCGTTTCCCTCGAAGCCGTTCGTCTGCTAGCAAAGATGTTGAAGGCTAGAGACTTCCACATTCACCCCAGTGTCTTGGACACATTCCTCCATCTTCGTCTGCTCGGCGAGTTCCACTTGAAGGCATCTCGAGACCGGGTGGATCGGGAAGAAGAAGAAGCCCCCCAAGGAAAGAAACAAAAGCAAAAGCGCGAATTCCGCACGAAGCGAGAGCGCAAGGTTCAAAAGGAGCGGAAGGAAGTCGAGAAGGATATGCGACAGGCAGACGCAGTGGTATCGCACGAACAACGAGACAAGAACCAGGCGGAAACCTTAAAGCTCGTGTTCGGACTCTATTTCCGCATTCTCAAGCTCCGCATTCCCGCACTGATGGGTCCTGTTCTTGAGGGTCTGGCTAAATATGCCCACCTCATCAACCAGGACTTCTTCGGTGATTTGCTCGAGGCTCTAAAAGACCTGATCAACCACGCAGAGCGTGAGGAGATGGGCGTGGAAGGCGACCAGGAGGTCATCAACGATGAAGACGACGAAGACGAAGACAGTGGCACAATTGCCGAAAGCGCAGCTCGTGACGCTCGTCGAAGGACACTTCTCTGCACCGTGACTGCGTTCGCGTTGCTAGAAGGCCAAGAAGCCAGTAAAGCAGCCGCAGGTCTCCACCTCGACCTAAACTTCTTCATCAAGCACCTCTACCGATCCCTCTACTCTCTCTCCATGAACCCAGAGGTGGAGTTCAACCCCGACACAGCCCTCCGCCTCCCCGACCCCAACTCCTCCACAGAAGGCAAGGAGCTCTCCCAGTCCCGCTCGAAGAACAAGGTCAACTTCCAGACCCCGATGGTTCTCCTCCTCCGCTGCTTGCAGCCGACTCTGCTATCCCGCGCACACGGCAACCCGCCTCCAAGTCGACTTGCCAGTTTCTCCAAGCGTCTCATGACGACTTCGCTCCAGTTGCCGGAGAAGTCTGCTCTTGCAACGCTGGCGCTCATGAACCAGGTCTCGAAATATCATGGTCGTCGTATCTCTTCGCTGTGGCACACGGAGGAGCGCAAGGGTGATGGTGTGTTCAATGCTTTTGCTGCTGATATTGAAGCTACCAATGTCTTTGCTGGTTCGGTGTGGGAGGGTGAGCTGTTGCGTCTGCATTACTGTCCACAGGTGCGAGAGTCCGCGATAGAGATTGAAAAGATGATGTCCTCTTCTAAGTAAATACTGTTTTGAATAATCTTACATGCATATTCAGCTACAATATACTCTTCTTGGGAATTTGTATTCAAACATCTTCATTGACATGCTAATCCACACAACAAGATCTAACTAAGCTGGCTCCTATCCTCCTCTAAATCCAACAATGGCCAATTTTTTTTTTTGTTTTTGGGGGTACTTTTTTTGAGGGCTTTTTGTTTTTAAATTTGTTTTTTGCTTTTTTTGGGTGACGGCACATTGTTGAGCACTGGACGGCTCGCTTACTTGCGAGCCTCATCCTTGCCAGTCTCAACGGGGGACACGCGGCCCGAAGGCTCCGCGGTCTGGTGGACCCCAGGCATCCCGGGGGCGTTGACCTCATTGAATTGAGGCCGGAAAAGTGGGTGGATGTCCGCCATGGGGACAGGCACCTCGCGGACAGCATCCCGGGGGACGCGAATCCCCTGGGGGGTGGTGGGCACAGCGGGGACCTCCTCGGTCTTGTTGGTGGAGGTCTGCTTAGCAACAGAAGATCTAGAGGTCTTCTTCAAGCTCTTCTTCTTGGACCGACGAGGAATCGAACTCTGCTTTGCAGTGGAAGACCCTGGTGGAGTTATTGTTGCGGACGCCGTGGCTGATGCCGCCGTCGTAGTTGATGTTGGAGTGGCCTTTGCTGGCGGGGCGGTCTGCGCCGGTGAAGCGGCCTTTGCTGGAGCGTCGGTATTTGCTGGCGGGATTGCTCCAGACCCAAATGAGGCGAGACTTCGCAGGGTACCAGTGGTCGGAACGGTGTCGTGTGCTGGCAAAGGGTTGGGTGGAAGGATCTTCTTCACATCCTCAGAAACTTGAAGACCGTGGTCGTGTTGCAAGACGTCGAATGCCATTTGGATTTGAATGAACATGCGACGCAGGAAAGTAATCTGCCGATTCTGGTCTTCGGTTTGAGACCCGATGTCTTGAATGTCTTCGTCGATCTCTCTGTTCTTTCGACGCTGGTAGGCCACGAATGGCTCCTCAGTGTTGTCCCAAATTCCAGTGAGGCACATGTCGACTTTGGCACTCAGGTCATTGAACGACGAGGTAAGTTCGTTGATCTCGGTTCGCATCACCGGGATATCCTCCTTAATCTCGTCGAGGTGCTTCTTGAGCTCCTCAAACTGCCCCTTGGCGTCATTCGCCTTGGCAATCTCGAAACACATGTCGGACTGGCGCTCACGCTGAGCATCCATTTGGTCTTTAAAGTAGTCACGGGTCACGGTAACAAAGTCATCGACTTTCTGTTCGAGCTTGTTGATGTTGTCGATCTTCTTTGACAGTCGGTTGATGTCTGTCTCATAACGGTACTGAAGAGATCGAACAGCCTCGGGAAGATCCTTGAGAGTCAAGCTGGATCGATGAGGTGTCGTAGGACTGACACCGCTAGGGCGCTCCATGGGGCTGAGACTGGAACGAAACATGCCATCGCTTCTAAAGCTGGGTGTGCGAGGGCTGGGTGTGTGAGGGTCATGTCTAATGGAGGGAGACACGGGGAGTGGCTTGTTATTGCCCTCCGGAACATTGGAACTGTCATCCATCTTGGGTGGAGATGGAGGAGCAGAAGAAGACCGAGGTTTGACTTGAGTGAGGGTGATGTTTCCCGGTCGACTTTTCAGGATGGATACAGGAATGGGAGGGACAGGAGGGATGGAGGAAGAACGGAGGGTAGAACGGAGGGAAGAACGTAGGGAAGAGCGAGGGGGAGGGTGAGAAGGAGCAGCAGGTTTTGTTTTGCGGTGGGCGAACGCGTTGCGTTTGTCATGTGAAGGACCAGGCAACGCATCCGAGGACTGCGAGCTGCTGTCTGCGACACTCGTCGAAGGCAAACCAACCTTAGGGTTGGTCGACTTAACAGGCACAGGCACCGGGACTGCAGTGATAGTCGTGTCAGAGCGAGGAGATGCCAGTGGGTTGCACATGTTGGGCTCTTCGAAGTGTACGTGGGAGAGGGTGCTGTGACGAGAACGAGACGAGTGTGCAGAGGAGGGAGTCTCAGAACGGCTCTCAGGGCGGCCAGTACGGCCGCGGGGACCTTCCGAATCGGTATCTATAAGTACATCCAGTGTCAGTGACCCATGCCAACCCTTCTTGCCTTTAACTGAACTGGAAGTGAAAGCCATCAATTGACCATATGAGACCAAAGTGATAGATATCTCATGTTTTTGAGCATCTCTCTCTATTCTTTCTTTCGAGGCATATTCTATGGGCAAAAGAAGAGTTCCTTTGCCAACAGGACCTGCTTCTGTAGAAAGGGCTCCATAGAAAGGGGTTTGCTTGCACAAAGCCAAGCAGATCTGATTCCAAGGAACCCGATTCCAAGCCAAAGAAAGACCTGATTCAAAAGAATCATGCCCAATTCTATTAGCAAGGGACCCGATTCCCAGGAGCCAAGCTGAGGTCCGATTCGCAGGCAGAATGGCTCAATCTCACAGCAATGGAACCAATTATTAAGAGCCAGGCTCAATCTCATGGAGAACCAGCCTCAATCCCATGGAGGACCAGGCTCAATCCTATGGAGAAGAGACCCGAGTCCTAGGAGCGAGGTTCAATCTCATGGAGGACCAGGCTCAATCCTATGGAGAAGAGATCTGATTCCAAGGAGCCAGGCTCAATCTCACAAGAAGAGAGATGATTCCGAAGAGAAGACCCAGTTACATGGATGAACTCGGTCGAAACGAGGCCTGAGCGTATCGAAAGACTCTCCATGAGCTGAAAGGTGATAAATGCTTCATGAATGGAAGAATGCTACTAACCTTGACTTTTTCTCGCCATATCTGCTGATGTTCTCAAAGGAAAAGATGAAAGTTGTGATGATTGAGATCAGAAGCAGAGAAAGGAAAAGAAACGCGTGTGGCAATAACACAACAAGAGAGAGCCCTGGAGGTCAACAAACCTGGGCACGTGCCTGAATTGATTAAGCGAAGGCACCCGTGGAAAGCACGATTTTTTACATTGCCAACTCCTCCCAATATCGAAGGAACGACCCATGAACCTCACCTGAGCATCTTGGGCCAGGCCCTCACCTGGGCGGCCCAGCCCTGGAGGCTTCTGCATTGGCAGCAGGGCTATACATGCATTGTACATTGTAATTGAAGATAGCATGCAAGCAAGAAGCAACAAAGAGACAGAAACAGAATGATATCTCTCCGGGAAGCAATTGGCAAGTGGCATGGATTGATTATATACCAACTTTCAGCCGTAGCCGTTACACAGACACAAAGGCTTAGGCAAGATGCAGCAGTCAAGGAACAAAGAGTCCAGCACATAGTATCTAACACATACGCAAAGAAACCAAAAGATTACAGGCAAAAAAGAAGCACAAAGAATGTTTATAAGTATAGGTCATTCGTTAAATTCATGTCATTAAGTATACTGGATACATAGCAAGTCAGACAGATCGATCAAGAGCGGCCGGCCATGCCAACACCAATATAGCATTGGAGACAACAAAGGGAATCATTAACCATAACAAAAAATCAGAAAGCAAAATGCAATGAAATTCGTAAGAAGAAACTGGCAACAGATAATACAGGGGAATATATTCGGGGAGTAGTCGAAGTTTTGGTCGAAGTTTTCATACTTCGATTTCCACGCACTTATCGGTTTGCCACGCACTTCCACTCTGCCAACTTGCAAGGGCTCGGGAGTCCACGTGACCACCAAGACCGCCTTTCGAGGTAGAGACCTTCATTTGTCGGGGAAGCAAGAACGCCAGACAATTGCAAAAAGCGGCATGGCAAAAATTGCAATCCAAAACAAATTGCTGATATATGAGTCAGTTAATCAGTTGAGAGAGCATATCCTGCGTCACGACCGTGATTCTTTTTCGATAATAGCACCAAGGAAATAAAACTGGCCAGAAAATATGTTCAAGCACAGGAAAACACACAATGTTCAATTTAATTGGAGTTCTTTCCACGACGGAAAGGTGAAAAGATGGCACCAAAGAAATTCACAAACACAGTGCGCAGGATTGCTTTGAGCCAGCTGTCAGGTGCACCATTTAGAGAAACAGCAGTCACTGACCGGTTCTGGCTCGGTGGACGAGCATCTTCATCATTATCCTTTGGCGTAAGAGTCTTGTCGGCGGCAGGCTTTGCGTCGGATGCATTTACAGAGGGTTCTGCAGTTCCCTTGCTGGCCTCGGCGGCAGGCTGGGCCTCGGTGGCACTCTCAACAGTAACCGAGGGTTGCTGGGTAGCCGTGGAGAGTTGGTCTGTTGAGGGTTGGTTGAGCTTGCTGAGGAGGGCTTCCCGGTCACCAGCGAGAGCTGCAAGAATGGGATCAGTTTCGAACGAGATGGCAGATTGCTGGTATGAAAGATAGAACGGTGTTGGCTTACCGCCTGTGGGCTGTGCATCCGCTGCGGAAACCTCGGGCTGTGTCTTGGCCTTCGTAACGGGTTCCTTGTCTGCATCGGTAGCTTGGAGATCCTTCTGATCTTTCAATTTCTCCAGTGTAGTCTCGGACTCCTTGTAAGCAAGAGCAGCGACGCCGGCCCCAGCAAGGGCAGCAGCAGCAACGCCAGCAGCGCCAGCACCAAGAATCTCAGTGCTAATGCCACTCTCCTCGGTAGAAGCTTCGTCAGTGGCGGGAGCAGCGGACTCTTCCTGCTTAGTTTCGGGGTCGGTTGGTGCCGAGGTTTCAACGTCAGTGGCGAATGGCTCCTTCACATCGGGAGTCTCAGACACTATCTCAGGCTCCTCTGCGCTGATAGTCGGCTCAGGAGTAGCCACAACTTCGGTCTCGGCGGTTTCGGCCTTCAAGGATTCCTCAGTTGCAACAACGGTCTCCACGGCAGGAGCAGGCTGTTCTGGGACGAGGTCCTCGACCTTAGCATCCTCGTGCGCGGACTCTTCAACAACCTCAGCCACAACTGGCGCTTCGGCTGTGGCCTCTCCAGCAACGACTGCGGACTGCTCGAGGGGAACTTCCTCCACCACGGTTGTCTCGGGCTCGAGCTCCTTGGTAGAAGATTCCTCCAGTGGAGCTGCCTCGCGGGTTTGCTCTGTGGGGGCAGCAGCTTCAACGGGCTCTTCAACCTTGGCAGGGTGTGCGGAAACCTGTTCCTTTACAACTGGTGCCTCAGTAGCTTCAGTAGCTTGGATGGTGGGCTCGACAGTGGCGGGCTCCTTCACATCCTCAGCCTTCTCGGTAGCTGGTGCCTCAATGGCAGATTCTTCGACAACGGGTGCCACCTCGGGAGTCTGTTCAGAAACAGGCTCAGCAGTGGACTCGGCCGCGGTTTCGTGAACAGCAACAGGTTCATCGATGACCTTTTCTTCGACGACGGGAGTCGCAGCAGCAGCGGGCTCGGCAATAAGAGCCTCAGCCTCAGCCACAACAGGCTCAGGAGCGGCAGCAACCTCAACGGTCTCCGCAACAGTGACTGGCTCATCGATAGCCTTTTCTTCAACAGCAGCAGTTTCAGCAGCAGCTGGCTCAGCAATGACAGCCTCGGCCTTGGGCTCAGGAACGGCAGCGACTTCAACAGTCTCTGCAACAGTGACTGGCTCATCCACGACCTTGTCTTCGGCAGCAGCTGGCTCAGCGTTTTGAGACACTGGCTCTTCGACAGCAACAGCAGTCTCGGTCTGTTCAGCCACAGCTGGCTCAGCAACAGCCTCGGCTTGCTTCTCCTCGACCTTCTCGGTCTCGTCCGCAGTAACATCAGCAACGGCAGGAGCCTCGGTAGAAGCTTTGGTGGGCTCCTCGAGGGCAAATTCCTTAGCAGGCTCTTCAACGGGGGTCTCTTCAACAACGGGAGCATTCTCGACAACCGGCTCTGCGGCAGAGGTCTCAGCAACGGGCTCCTCAACGGCCTTGTCGGCAACGGGCTCTTCGGCGGTCTGCTCAGTTACTTCCTCGGGCTTGGTAGCTTCTGGCTGCTCAACGGCGACTTCTTTGGCAGTTTCAGCGGGGATAGCCTCGTCCACTGATTCTTGCACAAACTCAGTAGGAGCGGCGTTTTCCTCGACGATAGCGGCGGCAGCCTGAGGAACAGTAGGAGCTTCCTCGGTGATGTGAGCAGCGGCAGCAGCCTCGGGAATAGCAGCAGTCTCAACAGCGGGGGACTCCTCAAGAGTCATGTCCTTGGAAATTTCAGCGACATGCTCCTCCACAACTGGCTCCTGTGCCGTAGCCTTTTCGGCGGTCTCTTGGGCAGACTCGGCCTCAATAGGCTCCTGAGCCTTCTTGGTAGTAGCCTCCTCGACAACGGCGGCAGGCTCTTCAATTACTTCGGCGGCGGGCTCAGTGGTGGTAGTCTCCACGGCAGCAACCGTAGGCTCCTCGACAGCAGACTCCTTAGCAGCTTCGACAGTCGGTTCGGGAACCGGCTCGACAACCTCAGTCTCCTTGACTGGCTTGGCAGTCAAGTCCTCAGTGCCAGTCTGCTCAACGGGAGCCTCCTCGGCCACCTCCTTGGTGGGCTCAGAGATGACTTCCTCCTTGGGCTCGGAAACCTCGACAGTCGGCTCCACAGCAGTTGCCTCTGTAGCAATCTCTGGAACAGCGGCTGTCGCGTCAGCGCTGTTCTCGGCCTTCGCCTCCACAACCGGTTCCTGGACCGTCTTCTCGGCAGGCTTGGACTCTTCTACGGCTGCTTCGGTGGCCGGGGTATCCTGGACAGTGTCAGGAACAGCCTCGACAGTCTTGGATTCTTCCACGGCAGCTTCTGCAGCAGGAGTCTCTTCCTTGGCGGCTTCGATGGTTTCAGAAACGACCTCGGTGGTCTTTCCTTCCGCAGCTGCTTCAGCGGCGGGAGTTTCCTCAGCAACTGGTTCGGCGACGGTTTCGGCAACAGCCTGGGCGGGCTTGGACTCCTCCATGGCGGATTCAGTGGTGGGATCTTCCTCGGTAGTAGGTTCAGCGACCTCCTCAACCTTGGATTCGTCGACTGCGGGTGTCTCCTGGGCGATTTCAGGAGCAGCCTCGGCGGTCTTAGATTCTTCCACGGCAGCTGCGGCGGCCGGAGCCTCTTCGACGATAGGCTCTGCCACGGTTTTAAGAGCGGCCTCGGCGACCTTTTCCTCAATCGCAGGCTTCTCCTCGGCTGTTTCAGCGACATCGGCCGCCTTGGATTCTTCAACGGCAGCTTCGACGACAGGCGTCTTCTGAGCAATTTCAGGGATAGCTTCCGCGGTCTTAGATTCCTCAGCAGCGGGAGTTTCAGAAACGGCCTCGGCAACCTTTTCGTCAGTGGCAGGCTTCTTCTCGTCGGTGATTGGCTCAGCAACCTCAGTCTTAGGTTCTTCGACAGCGGGAGTCTCCTGGGCGATTTCAGGAACAGCCTCCTCGGCCTTGGATTCTTCCACGGCAGGAGTTTCGGAAGCGGCCTCGACAACCTTTTCTTCGGTGGCAGGCTTAGCAACTTCCTCAGCCTTAGATTCTTCCACAACGGGACTTTCTTCCACAGGCGCTGCGACAGTCACAGGGGCGGCCTCGACAACCTTTTCTTCAGCGGCAGGCTTCTCCTCGATGGCTGACTCAGCAAGCTCAGTCTTAGGTTCTTCGACGGCGGGAGTCTCCTGGGCGATTTCAGGGACAGCCTCCTCGGGCTTGGATTCTACGACAGCCTCCGGGGCAGCCTCGGTGTGCTTTTCTTCCGTGGCGGCTTCGGTGGTTTCAGGAACGACCTCGGTGGCCTTTTCTTCCACAGCAGCTTCAGGGACGGCTTCCTCAGTCTTTGACTCTTCCTTGGCGGGCTCAACGATATCCTCCACAACCTTGGATTCTTCCACGGCAGCTTCGGCAGCCGGGTTTTCGCTGGCAGGCCCAGCACCAGCTTCAGGAGCGGCCTCGGTAGCCTTTCCTTCGACGACAGGCTTCTCCTCTATGATTGGCTCAGTAACCTCGGCGGTCTTGATTTCTTCCGCAGCGGGAGTCTCGACGATCGGCTCAGCGGTGACTTCAGGAACGTCCTCGGTCTTTGGCTCTTCAGTGGTGGGCTTAGCAACCGCTTCCACAACCTTGGATTCTTCGACAGGCTCTGCGACAGTTTCCGGAACGGCCTCAGCAGTCTTCGGTTCCTCTGTGACGGGCTCGGCAACCTTCTCAGCAGCCTCTGGTTCTGCAGTGGTTGATCCAGCGGCAGGCTTTTCCTCAACCACTGGCTCGGAAGTGGATTCAGCCTCCTTAGAAGCTTCGACTGGTGCTGATTCCTCCACTGCAGGCTCTGCGGGAGTCTCTTCGGGAGTCTTTTCGGCTTCCAAGGCAATGGAGCTAACGCTCTCCTGTTTCTTCTGCTGCTTCTTCTTTGCCTTCTTGGCCTTCTTCTTTTCCGCGGCCGTCATAGGGACCTCAGGTTTGGTTGAATCTTTGGATTGTTGTGTGGAGTCGGGCTCAACGAGCGTGGCAGTCGATTCGCTCAGATTTGCCTCAGTTGCGGCAGTGGATTTTTCATCTATGGATGAAATGGGCTCAACTGGTGCATCTGTGGGCAGCACATTGCTTTCCGGGATAAGGGGCTCTTGCACGCTGGCCATGGTTTATTTCGTTTCAAGTTCGTAATGTCGTAAAAAGATGATCGGGGAGGGTATTAGATATTTCACAATTTGACCAGCAAAGCTTTAACGCTAGATTTATCGTGTACAGAAAACACAAGCTCACAGAGCAATAGTAGGGATTATTGTGAGAGTATGGAGGAGGGGAAAAGGCAGGGAAAAAAATCTCAGCCCAAAATGTACAAAAAAACCCTCTGACGGCACAGCTCAGAGAGTGGGGAAACAGTTGGCACAGTGACCATATACATTACACCTTTCCTTTTTGGTCTCTTCGTCTTTCACTTGGAGCATCTTTCAAGCTTGACGCCCAATGGCTGGTCGTACTTTTTGCGCTCTTTCATCCACATCTCCACTTCCAATATGCGGTGAAGCTGTATCGCCGAGGTTTATTGTTTGGCTTTTTTTTTTTGACTTCTTCTTCTTCTTGAACATGTGCAACCATACGATGTACTCCGTACATGATTCAACTATGTCTCTTTTTTCCCCTTTTGGTTGCACAGTCCAAAAGACAACCCTGACTGAAAAAAGGAAATTGGGCGCTAAAAAGCGCAGACCCAATTGATAAACAGGCGCCAATGGCAGGCCGCAAGGTTCTTATCCACCTGTCATATGGTTCTGAGTCATTATTTAATATTGAGTGATCTCCAAAAAAGAAATAAAAAGGATAATCGTGTGCTTTGTATGGTGGAGGTTCAATTTTCAATAGTCTCCCCATCCGTGGATTGGCTGATGTTTCGGTTTTTCTTTTTTCTGGATCAGGGCCCATATATGCGGAAAACTACGGATCGCCATGATATGTTGGATGTTATTCCTACTACGGAGTACAATCTCTATATTCGGGAGAATCGAGAGATTTCTCAAAACAATGAAAGCTCGTGCCTCACACTAGTAGCTCTCGTGCATTGCGTGCTGCGTGAGACCTCCCTAAGCTTGGACCCTCCCACAGAAGCCGCATTTCCGGCTCAAAGCCCATAGCTGCAGTAAACTGCACTAATCTATGAGATCGTCTGCGGTTCCTACCACGTAGGAATACTAGATTTCCCTCCATTCCACCGACTTTCATCTCCTCCATATGTTGTATCGTGGAAAAGCAGATATACACCCTGGGCGGTGTGGTCGGCTTCCCGGTCCCCGAGCGGAATGCGCGGGATGGGGGAAACCTGCGGGCATCTTATGACTTCTCCGAACTAGTATAATCAAGAGTGACACGAGAAAGTTTCGGATCATCTAGCTCTACAATATGGCTATGGAACCTGGTTGCTCTTAATAGGCATCTAGGATTCACCAGCATACCCTTCTACGGCCGAGAGCAATTATAAAGATTGCTAGGATGTAGATAGACCAGGTAGGGCTTGGCGCAAACATTATACTGCAATTGGCTTTCATTTTAGGGCTCAATCATCTATAGCTATATCCTGCGAGAAAGCAGTTGTATTAGCTGATTGAAATTCTGGGTTAGTCTTCCTCCTTCACCTAATTCTCGTATCTCTTCTTAATCGACATATGGAGCCGGAACGTTACAGGGGGTAGGAGCAGCGGGGGAAAGAGCTTCCAAGGTTGTATATGACGTGATTCAAAGGGACCAAAATTATTACACTTACAGCAGGTGGCTCCATGTCGGTCAATATCAATATGTCGAGCGAGGAATTTATTCACCAGTGCCCATGCACATACCAAACCAACATAAATTAGGGCTTCCCTCGTGATATTACATGTTTGTTAGGTAAGTGCCCAGGTCGACCTCGCCTAATTGCCCACCTAGGCAGATGCGATGCAGCCAGAGAATCAAAGTCATCACCCCTAGGCGACCTCGGGATCCGTCTTGAGATCAAACGACGCTCAAGCTGAGGATGGACGGGGATCCACAAGGCAGTGTGCAAATGTCGCTAAAGACAGCCGCTAGGCCAAACGCCTGCTATCCACTTATCCATATCTGGCAGTGCCATTTCTCAGGGAAAGTGATATAAAAGTACAAAACAGAGTAGCGACTTAGCCTGCAATCTTGACTATCTTCCCCTTAAGGTATCCAGTCAGCCGTACAACCAGCAGCCATACTCCAACCAGGTCGCGTGACCTCAACACCAATGTCCATAGGAATGGACGACCCGACGATGCATTGACCTTGATATGCCAACATTCCCTTTAACTTGTTTGCGTCTGAGTCCACGTTCCAACCGCACTTCTGGACCACAGAATGGCCTCAGCCGTTGAGGCAGCGGGTACTCAGAATTAAGTCGTCCTTTGAGAGTAGCTGCGAGAAGTCTTCGCATACGCTTGACGATCGGAGACTCAAGGGTATACTCGAACTTCCACTTGTGAGACTCGCTGATTCCACCGAGCAGAAGGTATTATCGTTCCGAGGGACGATGAAAAGGATCTCATTCGTGGTATGGAGTGCAGCTGTAGTAATCGTGGGTCGAATAGGCAATAGGTGGAACTGGAAACCCTCTAAGCTATTCTGTAGCGGCACGGAAACTCCCAGTCGATATGGAGGCATCAGACATCAACATCGTGAATGTTAGACGCAAGTGCAGGTATTCCCAAGATTGTAAGGTGTTGCCATGCTTGCAGTGGAGAAGGGACTTACCTTACGTACAAGCCTAAGAGAACGCTGACCGACGAAGAGCATCGGTCCTTGATGGGGATATCAACATCACTAGAGTATTAGTCGTGGTTAAATATGGCCAGTCGAAATGAGCGAAGTCCAGTATCTCCGAGAGTCTGAGGGTTAAGTGGCCGCTCACACTCCATCGATCCTATCGCGAAAGCTGCCATGTTGCCTGTACTACCAGCGACAAAATCTTCGATCCATGCTTTGATATCCCAACGATGGAATTGGGCCAATTGTGCACCGCAATGTCAAAGGCAAGCCATCCTTGAGTTGGCTCTTATCAGAGACCTCCATCTATGCTGCCTCTAAACACTTCGTCTCGTCAGTAGATACATTGCATAAGAAACTGGCCGGTCAGGGTAGAGGTCAGATCAGAAGGTGGCAGAATCAGAGTAGTAGACTCCAGGCTTACCATTGGACTAAATCTATATCATCCCTAAAGGGCAGAGAAGGTCCCGACCGGCTACTCTAATGCAAGTCATAGACGACGCGGGTTTAACAACAAGACAGCGGTCTAAAAGATGCTACGTGACATGTCGGGGCGCTAAACCCAAAGTGGCAAAACTAACCAGAAAAGGAAATTCAAGAATGTCTGTGGGGTAGCTCAGGCACCAGGGCAGGTACCCGTTTTCCCCTCTCCACTCTACGGGATGCATATGTGCACGTATATTGGTATTTATACAGGGGCAATTAATATTCTCCGAAAATTAGGAAAGTTGAAGAGCATTATAGGTCAAACGTGATACGGGGCACAAAGGGATTAATGGCATGTTCCACAAGCTGAAAGTCACACCAAACCAATAAACAGAATCAACACAGTAGAAACGAATTCCAGGCAGCAGAGTTATTCATATAACAATTGTATAATAGTGGGCTTTAACACTACTACATCATGGGCATGTACACAGACCGAGCAGATCAGCCCTGTCTGTGGTGGGTCCAAACGTTCAGCCCTACGAGAGTTTGATTTACACTTTCCCTCAGCACCGGGGAATTTCCCAATTTATTCTCATGTCCTACTTATAAACATATCATTTCTCTTAGAGATAGTAACTATCTGATCCTCCACGCCTGACGTGGAAATGACCTACTGTGCAAACCTGCCGTGATTGGTCAGAGTCAATCATCTTGGTCAATCAACACTAAAGTCACGACATCGCCGGTACCAAAGTATATGGGCCAGCCCTATGGTCCGGGCCTCATGGACGCAATATGGGTCTTTTTACTGGCCATTCCATTTTTCTTCTTCCTTCTTCAGCTCCTCTTCTCTCTAGCAATCTGGAGAGCCGCAGGTTGTGACCCTCCAGAGTACGAAGAGCCGAAGAAGACCCGACGCAACAATGGCGGAGACTATCTCGACTCGAGTCGGCCACGCTTTCGCAAAGCATTTACGTATTGATTTAGCTCCAACTCCTCCGGTTGTGAGGGATGAGACCGGAACTTATGGTTATTACGAGCATGAGCCCACTGTGACCGACTGGTTTCGAGATCATACACCCACAGCTCCTCAGATTCGTCGTTATGTCTGTGCCTCTTCCCTTCCTCCACTGGATCGGGTATTACAATGTGCAATGGCTGATTGGGGATCTCGTGGCAGGCGAGCAAAGCCCCATTCAAACTAGTCAGATATATCCAGGGCTAACTTGTAGCTCTCGACAGGCATTACAGTCGGCGCCGTGGTCATCCCACAGGGTATGGCATACGCTAGCCAAACTGCCCCCAGAGTACGGTCTGTACTCCTCGTTCATGGGAGTGCTGCTCTATTGGTTCTTTGCAACGTCCAAGGACATCACTATTGGTGTAAGAACAATCCCTCAATTTTTCTTTTGGTGTTTGAAAAAGCTGACACATAACACCCTCAGCCTGTGGCGGTCATGTCTACGCTCACGGGTTCAATAATCATCAGAGTTCAAGCAGTTCACCCGAAATACCTCCACCAGTCCTCTCTTCCGCTCTAGCAATCATTTGCGGTGCGATCGTATTGTTCCTCGGTTTGCTTCGTCTTGGCTTCATCGTCGACTTTATTCCACTTCCTGCTATCACCGCTCTTATGACTGGGTCTGCTATCAATGTTTGTGCTGGCCAGGTGAAGACGGTCCTCGGGGAGAAAGCGCATTTCTCTACGCGTGGGGCAACCTACAAGATCATTGTTGATATGCTGAAGCATCTTCCATCCGCTCAGATGGACGCTGCCATGGGCCTCACAGCTTTGGCAATGTTATATGGCATACGGTCTGCTTGCAACTGTGGAACGAAGAAGAAGCCCCACAAGGCAAAACTGTTCCTCTTTTTGTCCACATTGCGCACTGCTTTCGTCCTTCTTTTCTACACGATGATTAGTGCTGCAGTCAACCTCCATCGACGTAATCAC